AGCGATGAAATAATACCTATCTGCAATAACTATATACGCCGCCGAAAATATTATAAACTTAATACCCTGACATGACGTGTCTGTGTAAATTGTGCACACCGCCATGTAATGCTGCACCAGGAGCGAATACGATTCACTCTGCTGCTATTTTATACCTTACACCTGGTTCACACGCGTGAAATCGATCGAATCTATAATATGCGTTTATTGCACACTCAGGTCGCGGACACGCACGTGTAATTAAAGACGCCACGCGAGTGCACTTCTGTGCAATAATATAATAATATTATTATATGGTCTACTAATGTGCTTACTGTTTCGTTTATTTATTACTGCTGTGTATTAAATTTTATCCCGTACGCATTTTCTGAGTCACAGACAAAATATTGTGTTATACATTTTTTTTTTTTTTTGATCAGTGCAGCAGGAATGCATTTGTGGAGCTATTTGTCAAAGTCGTCATCATCATMWTATTATTATTATTATTATTATCCATTAAAATATAGTATTATGTACCTACGTCAATTCTAACCCACTATATATATTTCACTTATCTATGTGAAATCATGCTCGTTCGTTGCATCACTTCCGGAAATCGTTTGTAATCGTGTACCTGAGATTTTCGTACCTACTTAACTAYAACTATGAGAAAACTTGTCAGAAGAATCGGTAACATTTACGTACAATATATTATAGACATATAGCTTCATGATGCATCATGTTTCTAAAATATATTTATTTCCAAAACGAAAATATTAATTGAAAATTGGGATTAATTAAAATGTATGCGTAACATTTAAATTAGTATAGGATACATTTAATATAACAATATTACGCGTATGTGTTTCTTTATGTATTAAATATTATTACGTATGTATTTTTATACATACAATTTTGATGTTAAAATTTCTTTTAAATCTCAACAGCTTATTATGAGTGCTCTTTATTTTTTTACGGTATATTTTACGGCAGAAAAAGTATTTATACAATATGTATTCTACAACTTATTCAATATTCATGTACAATCATACCCATAATATATGATCAATATTAACCATTTTAAAAATTATCTCGAATGCTAACGATTTGCCGCTGGACGCTGAATAATATATCCAAACAAATTATGGTGTTTATAAACAAAAGCACGTAGATATTCTACGATAATAAAATCGATTCCATGTACGCAAGTCGGTGAATCATAATAAAAATCATTTATTCTTATAAACTTATAATATAATATATATAATATGTACATTGACGCAGCAGCTGCTATAGCCATATTTAATGGTCAAATTATTATGCGTGAAAACAATCATAGTGCCTATCTCTATATGGATTTAAAGTACACATTATTATTATATTATATTAAGAATTGCTGCTCGTTATGGTATGTCAGGCGGAAATGGTATCGTATTGCCATTTGCATATTTATATAATAGTATATATTAAGCTAAAGTTTAATGCGATTAATAATTTTCTATAATAATAAATAATATAATGCACTTGTATCGTATAGACTCGGCGTGTATGCATGTTATGTATATTAAGCATTACTCTCTGGCCGGCGCGGTCGAGGTGTGGATTGAACTGGCAAGCAAAGCACAAAGACGACGCGCGACGTGTCGACWGCATAATGCACATGCACACGCACAGATGCGCCAGGTTTAGAAAATGTCATGGGGGCTCACTATTTTATAGGCATACGTACAGTTTTACCTAAATAATTTAATTTTCCTTAAATAGATGGTTAAAAAATTACTAAAATATAGATTTTTGTTGTTTTGTATGTTATAACATTTAAATAAATAAATAATATTARYRATTTCAATTTAAGTYATAGAAAACCACAAGACAAAAATTAAAAATGCAAATTTAATTTTGAAAGTTACATGTTTTATAAAGAAAATATATTTTTCCGCACTTTATTATTGTTAGTTGAATTGGTTTGCAACAGTTTATAAATTTATTTCTTCACCACGTTGAACATGGAGAATGGAAATATCATTTGAAATGTGACAGAAGGTGTATAATATTATTTTTTTATCAAACCATTATCATACTGTTAATCAGATACCGATCAAACAAGAACCTAGTTGATTAYCAAAATCTTGACTTTTTCTCAGTTATCAATATCGGAAAAATTTTTTTTATTCTCAATTAATTTATTATGAATAAATTTAATATTTTGAGGGCATTTTACAATTTGAAAACGGTAGGGGGCTGAGCTTCACTTTATCGAGCTCATGGAGGGCTAAAGCCCCTGAGCCCCCCTGTACTCAACACCTTTGCACATACACACACATAATTATGTTATATACATTGTACGCATACGATATATACCTCGCTATAAATTGTATAACATATTATATCGAGGTGTATACAAAAATGTAATATTTTGCATTCGTCTCGAAAAATTCAAATCTGTCCGCGGTATGTGTCTGCTGAGCAAGTAAGCTGTGCGAAGTTTTTTTTTTTTTTTTTTATAATTTTTTTTATACAAACGTTTAAAATACTATAAAAATAAAAATAAAGCGTTACCATATGAGTACGCTAGGACTCAATGGGGTTATAAGTATTTAGCCACACAGGTATACATCGAATCGTTGGTTGAATTGAGATTAGAGCTATACATGGGACACACAGGGTGTATAATTTGTATACATGTTTGAGTATAAATTATAGGACGTGTACTCGTACATAAGAGTATTTTGTTATCAAGTCGATAGTTTAGTTTTTTTTTCAATCACTCATTTTCCGAATGCGAATAATGTATAACTGCGTATCATACACATTGCAATAATATATACAAATATACAGCCGAAATAGTTTTGTACTCGCTTGGCACACACAATATACGACGGCGTCTGTGTGATTATAATAACGTTTGCTGCCACAGCTAACTGTGTATAATATGTTTGTTTGAGTGTGTGTTTTGTTTTCTCTAAGACTTTCGTCGCCGGTCTCAGCTGCGTGCATCGGCCACAACCGAGTGGGGATGAGTGTGTGTGCCTGCGCGGGCAATCTGCCCGAAACGTCACTATCGCCGCCACCGCCGCCGACTTCGGAATCTCAAGGATTCCCATCCGATGATCGTCAGGAATTTGTTCTACACGACGACAGGTATACGACGACGACGTATACGCGGCAAAAGAGGTCGTGACATATGCGCCGTTTACGGTGGAGGTGGATCTATATAGGTGGAAGTGTAATCGCTGCCAATTGTTCGCAACGTATTATTATTTAGGTAGGTACATACGCATGATGATTGTCTTAATGATTTTTTTTAATATTCAAAATTTTATCCTAATATTATTTGGTTATTACTAAAAATGCCCAATTAATGGAACTATATATTATGGAAAAGCAACTACCTAACCGATTTCCTAATATTATTAAGAAAGCTATATTATGTATTATATGTACATGTTTCATGAACAAAACAAAAAATAAATATATTACACAAAACATTGCGCAGTGTTATAGCTATTATTCGCTGTACGCTCGGAAATATTAAAATAAACGAGTCCGCAACAGCTGTTTACAGCGTGTCGATTAAGCGGAGAATTTTACTGTTTTTCTTTGTCTCGGCCGCCGCCTGGCGTGATTCACGAGCAAAATTTTGAGAGGACACCCAGGCACATCATTTAAAACTTGAAGCTTTGCACGCATTTCTACTAAATGGAACGAAACGCGATGTGCGAGATTACCTACGTGAGCATTAGGTACGTTATTATTGTCTGAATAATTCACAAGGTCGTTTGACACTCGAGACACTCGGCGTCTCGGCGTTCCTAAGTGTGTAATGCGGCCGTTATAAAATTCGTCGGATTCCAAACGACGGAACGGATATTATATAACTACAAATTAGTTATAATAACACCATCCTGCAATCAGTGGCGTGGTGAACGACGTTTACCTAATGCAATTGCTTAGCCCTAGAACAAACATTCAAAATTTTAATACAGAAAACTATACCTTTATGGAGGGGGGGGGGGCATAGTATAAATAATTTGCTTAGGGTTTGAAAGATGTTCGCCACGCCACTGCCTGCAATAATTATGCCACGATCGACAAACGAAGACGAACCAGAGATCAGCTGTAAATATCGCGAATTAAACTGTTCTGCGTTCGTTTATCTGTTCATCACAATATGGAAATTACTATAATTTGTACGATGCATTTATCAATATACCAAAAACTAAACACGTGGGGGAATAGTTGCTCACACATCGTCTACCTTCAGGGATTAGCCGGCACATCCAGACATGTTCGTGAGCGAATTCAATGAAAGGTAGAACGATTTAAAATCAGTATAGATATAGTGTAAACAGTCAACATGTATTTTGGTACGATCAGGAGAGAAAGGTTATCGAACCATTTTAAATCACTGCAGATAGCGGTCAACAATGAGTATTAATCTACCTCTAATACATTCAATCACATGACTAATTATTTAAATTTAATATTTTAATTCGTTTGACTGGTTAAAATTTTTGCGTCAGTCATTTTTCTCTATTATTTATTCCTTTATAAAAATAAAATTCAAATAATCGTTAAAAAGACATTATGGTCTTCAGAACTTATGGACGAAAAATAATAATTAAAAATTGAAAGATTTGTCATGCACCGTGGCGCAGAATTGACTTGCACATATATATATATATATGCCTCAACATTTGAAAAATTAACTTTTTTTTAGGAATAAAATCGTAACATTATATAATGGCGAAATATAATCTCTTATATTTAACATGATATGATATTGGTAAAAAAATTTACAACGAATTCGATATGTCTTGTGACTCAATAATGTCGTTAAATTTTTGATTTTAAATTAGATCACGTCGTAATAGTTAAGGAACAAAACGCCACTATTTATTACCCATAGGTATTTCAGAAATTCTGTTATTACGTACATTTTTTATGCATCAAATGTTATACCTATTCTGATTGTAAAAATCGTAATATTTTTGGAATAAAAATCATGAATGTGCACCAACCTTTTTGTGCGTGAACAATCCTCCAGGACGGATGAGTTGCGGCTGCGACGGCATGCCCGTGGTGACTTGAGGCGTCCCGAAAGTCTGGGTTTTTGCATACATATGACGAATGCAAACGCGTCAATTCGGTAATCGACTTTGTGTCGAGTGGGAAAGAGAGGAGTAAAAAACTTCGATCGAAGATCAAAATCTTAAAATCGACTTTTTTATTCGATTCTTTGGACGAAGATTATTAGGAATAAAAAAACAGATAGAGAGACGTTTGACGAGATTTCGTGCAGACGGCGGAAGAAATCGGAGGGAAGCGCTCGACGACAATGACAACATTTATTATTAAGTACGACGAGCGCACACTTAACGACTACTACAAACACCGGGCCCGACGCGTTTCTGAACGACTACGACATGATGACTGCCGCCGACCGTTTTTATACGCTTCATTGAGTCCGGCGTGGCGGTGGCTGCTTGTATTGCGGCGCGCACGCGCACAAATAGCGCCGCACAGTCTCGCGATTATATTAGATTGCAATATTGACATATTATTGTATTATGATAATTACGATGAAAAATTGCATTTCGAGAAACGGATATTATATTGTATCATATTATTATCTCGATAATACCTACCGATTATCATCAAATGATGTTCTCTATACGGTACAACGATATGCATGATCCGGAAATAGTGTGAACGTCTGTTAAATAAACTCTAAATAGGTAAATATTATGTCATTTTATATCCGCTTGATCAGTTTTATATCAGTCTCTTAGATTCTGAGCGGAGCAAGGAAAGTATTGATTTTACAATGATGTGTGGTTTTTTTTTATTTATTTTTTTTTTGTGTCTGTTATCACGTTTTGAGGCAGTAAAAATGCTTTGATTTTCGACTTCAGTGCCTTGTTAGATCAGAATGTGAATCTAGTTGGTGCTTTAGGGGGTCAAAAGTAAAATATTCTCAATATTTTTTTTAATAATTGGGATAAACAAACTAAAAATTAAAGAAAAAACGGGAATTTTTATACACAATCAATTTTTGACAAAATCGATATTGGTTTTTAATGTTACTTTAAAACAAATGACCATAAATACATGCATTTTTCATTGAATGTTTATATAAGTATATTCTATCCACTATAAAATTTTCAAAAAATGTTGACTTAAGTTGAACTATTTATAGGCATATGCAATTTTCGATAATTATTAGTTTTTTTAAAATTAATATCGATAAAAATTTATTTGTTGGGTAGTATTTATTTAAATAGCAGTTGAAAAATAAAAGAAATACATAATCAAAATTTTTTTTATAAGCATTCAAAGTTTAAATTTTGAAAACATACATAAAAATTACGAAAATTCGCAAATTATTTTAAGCTAGAAATTCATAAAAAAATGTTCTTTTCAAATCTAAGATTTGAAAATTTAATTCAAAATTCCTTATAAGTTTGTCTACCTTTATCAAAAATMAATAAATAAATATCCACCGAAAAGTCAAATATTTTGATAAATATTAATAATAAGTAGGTAATAATAATTTATAATATATCCTAGACATGCAGGTAAACCGTCTCCGCTCAGAATCGTTTATCGTATACAATGATATATCATTATTCATTAATATCATAGGATTTAAATTTAATACCATCCATTACAGTAACCCACTTGTAACCAACTTGTACTGTACAGGAGAGCGACATCCACGACTTACACGCTTTTTTTGTTGTCTTTATTTTAGGAACTATTTTACCGTTCAGCATCACGGATATAATGCGTAGTGCGATAACCGATGTCACGCGATAACTCGTCAACTACCTACGATTGTTTATTTATTTACATTTATGTAATATACTGCAGTAAAAATTAAAAATAGCTAAACTGGTTACATAAAAATAAGCTGTTTTTATTTGGAACCATATTTTATATAACGTTATGTAATAATACTAAATTTTAATGTGAATCGGGAAATAATCCAATCAAGCGTTCATTGGCGCTGAAAACATGTATCTTATCCTCTAGTTCCCCCAAAAAATTTTTAAATAAACTCAATATTTTGCGAAAGTATTTAGTATACAATTCCTGTGAATTCATAACTTGCAGCTTTTTGTGCTCAATCCGCCGTTTGCCCTATAATTCTAATTTTCGACGGAGGCAAGTGTATAACGTTTAGCTTAGAGCCTGATTAACAGATTTTTAGGCCAAGTACTTATATTATAGATATGAAAGATACCTCACTAAAAGGTGTAAATTAAACAAAGTAAAAGTGGCAAAGCAAAACTTAAAAAGCTCAAACTTCGAAAATATTGTAGTTCAACAAATTTTATTGGCGAAATGTTCGCTTAATTTTATATATTTCATATATAACTTACTTGATTTGTTAAAATTTGCTAAATGCTAATGAAAATAAATTATTTGTTGAGTGCTCAAATAACGATGGAAACTGCATATTTTTCTACAGTAAACAAAAAATGTCCCAACAAAATATTATGTTGATAATTTATTAGACATTTTTGATTTATCACTATCCAATTTTTTACAATTATTTTTTCATCAATACCTATATAGAGCTTGTTTAGGCTATACGTTGCCAACTGCATTAATCTAGCAGTATAATTTTTTGTACAAATTTCTTACTCAGTTAAATAATTGTATCTTCTTGGAAATTAATCACACGTGATTTAGCGCCTTAGAATATTATGTTTTTTTAATCACTCGCAATTTTTCATATCATAATATTTGCCTTTTAAATCACACACATGATTAATACATTTTTGGCGGTTATCTTTTTGGATAAAAACCGCAATACTAGTAGTAGAAATATTAAAAAATGTTCGTATTTGCATGATGCAAATATACGAATAATAAGTGACACTAAGAAGAAAAAAATGTGTCGAGAAAAATTTGTTTTGATTATAGTTGGTAATTGGTATATGCTTATTTATAACACCTACGACTTGAACTCATATGTTATAACTTATGATTCCCGATTATTGATATGAAATAGATTATTGCATAGCCATGGAGTTTTGTCATGCATAGCATACTACACGTGTGTTTGAAAAAATCTTAAATGAGTTAAGTACGCGTTGTTTTATACACGTGGTTCTAGATACCTATAGGCGCGTCGTACGTGCTTTCGCTATCACAGTCTACAACAATGATTAATGAATGGTATGTATCGCTCAAAATGTATATATTATGCTCCACTTATATTAAAATGGTAAGGTAATAATTTACGATTTTTATAATAATATCATGTCAATAAACAAAACAATTTATCAAAACACAAAGTCATAATTGTTTTGAATAAAATAGTTATCTATATACCTAATAACTTACAACATATTGAAATCTACACACTTTTACACATACATACAAAATTGATTAAATAAATTATGCACAAATTTGGGTACAAGGGAACTCTACGTGTTTGTTTACGCCAATAACTTTTTCTTCAATTAATATTTTTGAAAATAATATATGATTTTAAAAATTGTAATAGAATATAGCAGGGGCGTCATTTGGGGGGGTGGCAGGGTGTGCGGTTGCATCCCTTACTTTTAGAATGTTACAATTGGCCTGCGCCTTGCTGAAGCCTAAAATAATGCACGAGCCACGAATGCACAATTATTTATATGATTAAAATCAAATTGTAATAACCGGTCTATATAGTATATGGAAATAATTGAATGCAGGATAATATACGTATGTATATCTATTTTTATATGGCCTGGTGAAATTTCAAATGGCCTGCTTGAAACTTCGCACACCCGAAAATAAACCTGAAATGACGTCCCTGGAATATAGTTATGTATTTACAGCATAGTAATTTATGTTGTTGTTATTCATTTACCTTTATGGMTTTATTATAATTACACAACTATAAGACTACCTACATGATTTAACATTTGTCAATCATTGATACAATTGAATATTATTTAATTATAACTGAATTATCATTCCTAACTAAAATATTAATATAAACTATACCTACGCTAGTATTTTTATCAAATACTTACGTAATAGAACGAACATTTTATTTATTTTTTATTTTTCTTTATAAGTCAAATAAATTTTATCTGGCTAGTTTTTTTTTCAAACATAAGTCTTGACAATATCAAGAGGGTGGTTTAGGATAAGTTAGATCAGTAGGTGAATTATGCAGTGATATTATACAAGGTGTCCCGTGAGATTTACCCATTGCGATATCTCTCGAGATATTTTTATATTTAATTATTTCCAAAAAAATTAAAGATAGCCATTTTGTAGAGTTTATTTTTCTGAAAGTATTGACGTTTCAAAATTTTATTTTTATTAATTTCCTGATTTTTAATATTTTTTTTTGTTTCGAGAAAAATTGGGAATTATTTAACACCATAATATGTTATCAAACATGTGACCCGCCGCGCCGCGCGCATTCCCGTACGGCCGGCCAAATACTCTCTGTATTCCTAATAGTTTTAAATTTATAATCATATTTAATTTCATCAAAACTAGAAAAATTATCAAAAATCAGTAAATTAATGGAAATACAATTTTGAAACGTCAATATTTTCAGAAAAATAAACACTACAAAATGGCTAACTTTAATTTTTTTGGAAATAAATAAAAAAATATATTTTGTAAATTTTTTACAAAAAATTTAAAATAAATTTTGAAATGGAATAATTGTAGTTCTTATCCCTGTGAATCTTATTATAAAACCAGAATTTTGATATCTCCATTATTTCGTGAGATATCGCAATGGGTAAATCCTCGCGGAACACCCTGTATACAGTCAAGTGAGTAAGATAATTAGACTTATTACATTTACTACTAATATTAAATTAAGATAACAATCAAAATCAAAATATTACCAGTGGTAAATCAAGACAAAATTTGACAGGCAACATCAAAACTAGACTCTCAAAATTGACCGGACAAAGGAGTACCTATAACATCAAATCAAATAATCAATTTATCGGAAAAACTCTTTTGAGAAAACACTCCGAAAACGAAGAATATTGGTTGTCCTAGGTATATTTATCAGATAACACAATTTTGATCAATCTATAATTAATGATCTTGGGAAAAATTAATAATCAATATATTTAAATGCTAAAAATTACTTTTATAGAGGTATATATAGTCTATGTTGATCTGATTTGGTTTATTTTTGAAATTCTTAATTTTCATTATTTACAGTGAAATTCTCAAATAAACAATTAATTCTATTATTTACAGAATGAAATATTTAAAAGAAAATATTTTATTTTAATTATAAAATTAAAATAATGTTTTTAATCGATGGATACATTTAAAAATTAACCAGGATGACCCGGTGAAAATGGTCAGTTTCGAAATCGATAGAATGTTTAGGATAGAATTAAATCTCTTTATTAAAAAAAAAAAAAA